AAATAAATAAATCGTTTAAAAAAATTATAACCAAAATATGCAGCAATACTGCTCCTGTCCCTGCAACCAAAAAATGTGGGAAGAAAGGGGGAGATTAATTCGACTGGAGCATATTTCCACAAAAACTACCCTTGTCTGTGGGATATCGAAGAACAAGGCATCTTTCAATTCTTTCACTTTTGCACAAGTCCCTGTCTGTTTTGTGACACTTCTGGAGTTTGCATTATGTCCAAAATGAAAATATAATAATTACTCAAGGCAGTCCCCCACCACCACCACCCCCCAATCTTCTGCCACCAAGCCTGGAAACACAAATGAAAAATTTAAGGTGAGAGTTTTCTTTATACTATGGGTTATTTGCTTCTTCATATAATCAGTAATTCTGCTTTATATTTCTTCTTCCTTATTGTGCCTTTATCTCAAAATAGGTTGAGTCATTTTACTCAGAGTCCACTTACTTCCTGCTTTCACTTACCCATTGGAAGTTCTCAAGCCAGTTTTGTATAGGAATCATATTCACAGTGTTTTAGGGAAAATATAAATATCAGGGAACCAGACTCAGGATTGTGAATATCAGGGAACCAGACCCAGGCCATGACAGTGCATGAGAGGACAGAGGTGTGATTCTCTGATGTTGAAGCTCCCAACTGAGATGCAGACGTCATGCAGGTTCATCGGGACCCTTCTGCTCTCAGCCCTGCTGCCTTGGCCAAGCACAGGTGAGTGAGAAGGAGAAATTACTTTTTTTACAGGAGCCTAAATAAGCAATCATTTTATTCTGCAAAATAATCCTAGAACTAGTTTTTTTCCAATTTCCTGGACCTGAAGACGTTATATTTTATCTTCCTTTAGTCTGCCCTTCTATCTCTGCTTTTCTGAGTCTCTCTCTTATTTTATCTTTGGTTTGTGAGGAAAATGTTATGTAAAACTACAAACAACCTAAAAGTGATGTCTTATGTTGTTGTTATCCTATTCCATTTTACAAGACACTTTCTAAAGCTGAGCCTGAAAAGAAAAATGCATATGTTGCTGGAGGCAGAGCCTGGGAACCCCAGGGTCCTGTTGCACCCACCCAGCTGCATTACCTGGGCCAGAGTGATGAGATGCTTTGGCTTTAGCAAATGGTGTCTGTTTATATCTGTGTTTGAACTCTTCAAATTAAATATCAGTTCTTATATGGGAATTTTGTATTTAGATAGGTTTGACTAGAAAACAATCCGAGAATACATCCACTTGCTGAACAAAATATAGACTGAAATAAGCTCAACATATTGCATTTAAATCAAAATGGAAACAGAGAGCTATCAGTGCATTTTAACACAGAAAATTCATATTGACTTTAATGAAAGGCATTTTAGTGGACAGAAAAATAAATTTAAATATGGTGCTCAAAAAAGAGATGCTTTGAAATTTTATAACGGCACAAGCTTTTCATGAGTGCATCTGAGTGTTTCTCCGTCATAGTCAGGAGGAGGCATGTGAGAATCTGTGGCAGATCCAGCCTGTCTCTGGGGGGCCTAGTCTGCAAATGGGGGCTCCCCACCATGTGTGGGGTGTTGGTTATCATCCGGAGTGTGCCAGTGCCATCCACTGTGAGTCCCACAGTCTGCCCCACCATGTGCCTGTTGCAGCTGACCCTTCATTTTCCCTGGACTTGGTACTGGACTTCAGGTTTGTCACTTACACGTTTTTAATTCATATCCTTTACTCAAGTCTCATCTGTACCTCATTTTTCAGTACCAGCGTTATGATATATTGAAAACCATCAATTTTATTGTACTTATGGACCCACTGTCCACTGTCTCTTCATCAGTCTAAAACAAATTCTCTATCTCCTGTGCATTTCTTAAGCATACCCTAGTATTCTACTGAGGGACATCTTCTTATAACTTCCAGAAATTCATACAGAGGTGGTATATTTTCAATGCTCAGCTTTAAATACACTCATTTCAAAGTGTATATTTCTTCCTTCTTTATACATACAAGTTTGAATCAGCTTACTTAGAACCCACTTGCTCCCTACTTCCACTATCCTATGTGTGGGTATTTTGCATGTAGAAACATGTCCACCATGTTCTAGAAGAGTGTGAATCTAAGTGAACCAGACTCAGGACAATGACCATGACAGGCCAGGGGAGGGCAAGGGTCTGATTCACCAACACTGAGACCTTGAGCTGGATAAAGCCCTTGTGCACTGTCATCAGTATCAGTCCTGCTCAGGTAGTTAAAAGTGGCTGGCAAAAGGTGAAAACTTTACCTTTGAACATTGAAACACCACTCCACTATTTTCATTCAGTGAGGTGAATGAAAACTTCTGAGAACTTTATTTTTTTAAGATTTATTTAATTTACTCATACATATAAAAGCTGGGGTGTGGGTTAGAGTTGCTGGGAATGAGCGGACTCACCAGAGACAGAGGTCTGCTGTGCCATGTGGGTCAGCTCCCTGACTGGGGATGGAACTGATGCTGCAGTGAGTGAAGATAGCTTGATTGTGCTGAGACTTAACTCCTGTGCCACCAACGAGGCCCTTAAGAGAACTTTGAATGATTGGTACCTCAGTTGCCAGAGAGGCCTTCATCCAGGCCTCAATAAGAACCCAGGGAGCATCTCCTCAGGTGGCTCCACTTGCCCCATTGCTCACACTCTTCTTCCTACCCATGGTTACACATGTTGATTCTCAAAATGTCACTAGTTAGTTCATCAAATGTCCCCCCTTAAATCTGGATATTGCCATATATTTTCGTTTCATTGTCTCTGAAATTTTTGGTGTGGGATAGTTCAGAAGGGAATGAAATCACAAATGAATAAAGCTAATCATCTGAGAAATTCAGTACTTCAAAGTGGCTCCAAGTTGCTGATTTTAACTCATATTATCAGTCTGTTAATTCTCCCCTGCTAATGTCACTGGAAAAGCCCTGAACTTTCTTAGTTATTACTATCTCTAACCTCTCTGTGATACTCAGGGTCATTTCTATGAACTGAATGGTCTAGAGCAAGTGACATTTGAATTGTAATGCTTTTCTTTAGCTTCCATAGTCACCAATTAAGAACTTAGTACAGAGACCAATAACAATCAACTCTCCAATTCTAGACAACAGCTGGGTATTTGACAACTGAATTCAATTCTGACAAATAGTACTCAGGATTCATGCAGTTTTATAAGAGCTCAGTCTAACAAGACTGTGCCCATTTCAAAGTCACCCACATATGGAGTCCAAAAATTACCTTCACTTTTGCCTCTTGACTATTAATCCAGGGGTTTCAATGTTACCTCAAGCTTGATACTACTTTAGAATGACTTAAAGAATATAGAAAATGCTGATTATGATCAATGCTTTATTAAAACAATACAATTTAGGAACAGTCACATGGAAGACACAGAAAGGGCCAGGAGATGGGGTGGAGAGCAGAGCTTCCATGCGCTCTCCTGTGGACTCCACATGCCCCACTCTCAGATCACATTGACATGTTCACTCACCTGGAACTCTCTTTGCTTTATTGCTTCAGTTTTCAGTGGGAAGTTTTCCTTTCAGTACATAGACTTGTTACATGAAATAATTGGCCTTTGGTGATTGAAAATCTCCAGCTTCCCTCCATTCTCAAGATTTTGGGGTGGAGTAAAAGATTCTGATCCTTTAGTCTCAGGGTTCATTCCTCTGGAGATCAGCCCCAATCAAAGCATTCTAGAGGATCTACCTTGAGTCAACACAATACTTTGAACTTAGCTGTAGTCAAAGGGAACTCCTTATCAATAATAAAAAAAAAATCTTATCACTCAGGAAACTCCAAAGGTTGTAGGAACTCTGTCAGGGGAATGGGCCAAAGACCAAATGTGTATACGTGTGTGTGTGTGTATACATACGTATGTATGTGTGTGTGTGTATATATATATACATACACACATACATATATATACACATATATGTGTATATATACATATACATATATAAAACAAGCTTCTGTTACTTCTCTGAGTAACATCATTTCTAGTGGTTTCCCATTATATTTCATAGAAGTTATACTCAGGCCCTCCCTGGAGGCGCAATGGGTAAAAACACAGCACGGTGAAGTTCTCTGCAGCTGCTTCGTGCTTGTTCAATCTCCAGCCCCGGAGGTGACCACATGGTGCAGCAGACCTCTCCTGACTCGCACACTGCTCCCCTCAGCAATGTACTTCGTCAGTCTGCCCATTCTGGTCTCCACTCTGCCTGGTGAATCCTCTTACCACCCCTGCACCTCTGGCCTGTACCCCAGTACCTCTGGCCTGTACCCCAGTTCTATATACATAAATAAAATAAATCTTAAAAAAAAAAAAGAAGTGATACTCCACTGGTAACATGGTGTAAAACAAGGAAACATTTGGTTGTTAATATTAGGATTCTCAATTTGTGCCTTAGTATTTGGGAGCAAATTATCACTGATTCATTAATCACTGACTCAATTATTAATCACTCATGGGCTCAATTTCCTCGTCAAAAATGAGAACACCACTCTAATACATGGAGTTTATACATGGAATTAAATGATTTATATAAATTTGAAATCTAACCCTTTGCAAATGGGAAAACACAAATTTTGATTAAGATTACATCACTATTGTATATTGACAACAATTTCTGTTATTACCTTTTGTTAACTACCAATATACTTAGATAGCCATATATTAGATCTACTCACTAATTAACCTCACTTTTCTAGTTGAACTGGTATATTTTCTCTCTCAGGAGGTCGCAACCATTCCTGCCACAGTCTAATGATGACTCCATCCTTTTCTTATTTTCTTCCAGGGCAATTCCATGTGATAGGGCCAAAAGTGCCCATCATTGCCAAAGTTGGGGAAGATGCTGTGCTGTCCTGCCAACTTAGCCCAATGATGAACGCTCAGAACATGGATGTAAAATGGTACCGAAACCACTCTTCAGCTCTTGTACATCATTATGGTGCTTCCCAGGATCATACAGAGAAGCAGATGCCAGAGTACCGAGGGAGGACAGGGTTTCTGAAGGAGAACATCACCAAAGGGCAGGCGGCCCTGAGGATCCATTCCATCCGCCCCTCAGATGGTGGGGAGTATAGCTGTTTTTTTGAAAGCTCCACATACTATGATGATGCAATGTTTGAAGTATTGGTGACAGGTGAGTCTCTGAAATGAAAGCTCTCAGGTAATTTGTAGCACGTTTTGGTCTCGTCAGCAATCTATAGTGTTGGACTAAAAACTAGACAGATGTTACTTAGTCTGTACAAATATCGTGAAAAAATGTCAATGTTATAGGTGAAGCTCATCTAATCAATCTATTCTGACTTCAGGTTGCAATAAAAACCTAATCACATCTCTTGTGAAGATAATTATTTAAACAAAAAGAAAACAAGGATTCTAGCCTATTTTGTTGTGGAGGAGTGGCAGGAATCCATCTCATTTTTTTTTCAAAAGACAGAGGCAAGAAAATCTGTTAAGTGAAATCAGGCTGGATTTCTGTACCTCATTCTTGTCCATAGTTGACATTTTATTTCCCAGTCAGATATGGGTCCTGCTTACAGTGACTTTACTGTGACATTCTTGTTTACTCAGGTGTGTGAATAAGGTTATCTTTATGATCCCACTCCTGCTCAGACATTGTTCCCAGAAAAATACACTCTAGGAAAAAAGAATAAAGAAACATTTTTGAACATAAACTGAGCCTACCCTTTCCTTACAAACATTACAGAACCTGTCATGAGCATTAAGTGATGAGTTTCTGTGTTACCTCCGTTCAGATCAAAATTCCCTATGGGTGAATGTAATGCACCTTTCCTTTTTATTCTTAAATAACTTCAGAAGATGAGTCATGAATAATTAAGCACTTTATATGAAATAATCCTTACACTAACCAAATGAGTTGAGATTATTATTATCCTG